CAGGAAGTGAAAGGAAACACTGTTGACTAAAAAACTCCAATCAGTCTTCAGCTACTGTTCTACAATTACTTTAAAGGTGTAAACATAGAGTATAAATGAATTAACGGTATTTATTGGGAACCCAACATATAAAACTAAGCTTGAGGGTCAACTCATTTTACTCAAGACAATATGAAATTACAGACAATGAAAGGTTAAATGGGGGGAATGCTCTTCTACAAGCAATGTCAATTATGAATAAAATCTGAGGTCAGTTGAAAAGTATTTTAAGAGCCTACAGGGTTGAAATTTTGTAACAGCTGTTAAATATGACAAAACTTTTTTCCCCCCAAAACTAAAGCTATTCCAAACTCTGTATGAAAGAAATGGGATAAACAGATGTCTGGCTTCTATACAGGAAAGTAGGACACACTTGGAATGATAAGTCTCCTAAACTCTATAGAATAATGCCAGATTTATTGGGGAGGGGGGGCATTTACTACCCACAGAGATGCCAACTAGCAGTATGACTGTGATAGTACCATCTGGAAAAACGTTGCATAGCATGCTATCAGTAAAACATTGCAAGCACATTCAGTGTGCACAAGCAGATCTGCCATTGCTTTACTAGTGAGTTGCCGCTTAATGTTTTGATAGTAATGTAATCCTGCCTTCCCGTGTTCCTCCACAATCAGTCTTTTCAGTTTTCAACAGTTGGAAACTACACCTTCATATACATTCAAGCCAAACAAGGAAAGGAAAAGTCAAGAGGATGTATCTTACCAGGAATTTCTATGCCTTCTAATAAAATATATTATGATGGCACAGAAGAATTATTTTCGCGCACAGTGTGGTTTTGGTTTAGCAGTTACAGCGGTATCCTGTAATCATTTACAGCCATTGGAATGTATGGGTGAAATAGGATAGATTTATCTGTTCATAGTTGTGATATGTAGACAATGGGTGTTCCTAATGAGGAACATCTGCTTTTGTGTTTTCCCAGAAAACATTATTCCACTATGAAAATGATACTCCCATCCTTTTCAGCAATACCACAAAGAAAATATGGCCCTTTTCCTTTCTTTTATTTGGTTTTCTTTAGGTCAATCTAATTTCCCAGGGACCCCTTTTCTGTGGCATCTCTTTACTGACCACACTTTATGGGGCTTTTTTCCTTACTACATAAATTATTATGTAGTATGAATAATTTTATTGTGCTGTATGAATAATACTGTAGTATATTTGTATTCATGCAATAATAAAAACTTGTTTCCTTAGCAATGCTTCATCAAGTAAATGCAAATAAAAATTTCTCTGTGAGTTAAAAGTTCGGGTGATATGCAATATGTAAATTTTGGGTATTTTTAAAAGGCCTTCCATTTTGTTTTACATTTAAGTCTCCTGAAAGATGAAAAGGCATAATTTAATTAATTGATTTAAAATATTGTAATATTTTGCAAATGATTACACCTGAAGTGCGTTGGTATTTCTTTTCTTCTTCCCTAATATTTAAAACAGTTCAGATTATCAGAAAGAGCATTAGTTTGGTCTAGAACAAACATATGGCCATAGATCTCAATTCAGGATTGAATTATTGGTTCATATCCTCAGGACAAATATGCCTTATCTGGTCAAAATCTGCTAAATGTATCCAAAGGCCAAAAGGATCTACTGAAGTATATTGCATGTAATTTTTTAAGCCAACTAACAGAGCGATAAACACTTCTTATGGGCAACTGTAAATTGACCCAAAAATTTGATAGGGATATTTTGTTCTGTGATGCTCAAAAGGAAACACAACCCAGAAATTCAACACAACAACAAATCCAGGCGACAAACTATTAACGCATGGCTCAAGCAAACATAAATTATTATTAGGAATTTTAAATATACTCTGATAGTCTCAAAAGACTATGTTAATCTTATGAAGCGCCTTTCCAAAATGTATTTTCCTTTTATGACATTGGCTATAAATTGCTCGTAGTGTACATGAAACTTTTTATAATTAACAATTTTTCAAAAAATTCATGTTAAAGTACAGAGAGTATCATACCAAAATCCCTTCTTAGGGATATACAGTATGCAACAAAATGCTAGTAGTATTATCTAATTAAAAGGGACAACTCTTTTAAGAAGGCTAAAATATATATTCTTTTTCTCATTATACAAAAACTACTCCTACCTTTAAAATTACTAATGTAAAAGTGATTAAAATTCCTATAAAATTGTCATATCTTTAAATTTAGAAGCACAACAGATTTTTCATCAATAATTAAGATCTCTAAAGCATTTATGTTAGGCGTAAATGGAGTTTCAATCTTCTTTATTCAAATAAACATGGTAAACCCATTAACCAAATGTTTTTTTTTATTTTTTATCCTCTCATGCATCTTGAATATCAAATTACAACACACTTCTGATAATTTTGGGAAGGTATAAAATCATTAGTATTGTACAGTATGTTTCAACATTGTTGTGATCATACTGAATAGAACTGATATAATTTAATTCACTATTATTC